GCTGGAGTGTGGGCCGGCTCCGTTGATGAAACGTGGCTCCCATGCACATGCCTCCTGGTCTTATTCTTCCAGGTTTACACTGGATATAGGGTGTGTGTGTGTGATGCAGCGGAAGCCGCCCATTTTTCCTCTGTGGGTGCAGGCGTCCTGTGGCTGGCCACAGTGACATGCAAATCCGAAACCGGATGCCGCCAACCATATATCACCGTGTGCATTATACTGATATTGATGTTGCATACTTCATGCTTGTTCATCGCAGTTGGGCTACACCGACTTGCACATAAAACGGATCTTTCTATTCCGGATAGAAAGTATTCCACTTTATTTGATTTACCCACTTCTGTTGTTCTACCACATATTCCGTGACAATATTCAGTGTTTATTTTTCTTCAAATTCTGTGTTGGTTGTTTTATATTCTTGATGTGGCTACGCTTGATATAAATGTTGACAAGGTGCCTACCTGTCTAATACCCTTCACCTCGACCACCGGCTACAGGAGAATGCCATTTGTTGCTGCGGAGACGGGTGTATGTATGTATCCTACTTTTATATGTATTGCGGCACAATAGCTAAGGTGTCTTTTCTAACCCTAGCTACCGTGCATTATGATGATAATGCTGGATGCACGGTCCTCGTCCATCCAGTGTGGAGCGGAGTGCGGCCTAGCCACCGCCTTGTATACATCTCGTACACATGATTCCCAAATTAGATAGACAAGAATGCTGCTGCTCTGCGTGTGAAGGAGTGTGGGCCGGCTTCTCTCTTGTCACGTGGCTCGCATTCACATGCGTCCCCCGGTATTATTCCGTCGGGTTTGCACTGGATATGGAGTGTATGGATGGAGTTGTAGATGGTGCAGCCCAAGCCACTCATGGTCATTTTGTAGGCGTAGGCGTCCTGTGGCTGTCACCATGGACCCCGCCGTGATTAGTAAATCCGGACCTGGGTGCCGCTAACCATATCTCATCGTAAATCGGTTGTCCTCGGTAAATTCCTCGGTGACTCAATGTAATTCGGTTAGTATATTGTCGCTTATATTCAATCCAACTTAGTCAATTTATTGGGCTACCGCTCATGATTAGAAAGTGGTGGACCCTGTTATACCATGACTCACATCTCTGTCGTACTTATTATTGACAGCATAGTCTACGAAATGCGGAGACACAGGTAACAGAAATTATAATTTACGGAGCTGACAAAATGCTTCACGCCGTCAAGCGCAAGGGTTGCTGCTGAAAAGCAAACGACCAAGAACTGAAATGCAACTGCAACCGAATGACTGTGCTGTATCAAACAAGTTGTCTGGTAATTGATACGGGCCCCGCCGACCCATCTATGCACATTCGACTGAGTCTTTCAGTCACTTCTTTCATTTTCTTTGCCGTATCATATACTGGCCACCTCGTAGCGTCACACATCTTGATACATTATTGGTCGTCATGGTGGTCTGACATTCATGGGCTCGCGAAATACGTGACCTAACCAGCGTCCGCACTACGAGTTTAACGGTCATTCCAATGGAGCACCTGGGGATTTGTTGCCGAATATCAACTGTTCGAGTTCTGTTTTAGCCACTCTACTCCCAGCATAGACATCAAGCTTCATGGACTTCCAGTCTCTTACTGTCTTTACCACATATTAACTCCATCTTTGATCCACACCGTAACACAGATCGTATCGCACTCTTCTTTTGACTCATGGGTTTTAGTCTCCTTTTCCATAGATGATTGAAGTATTGCTGAGTTAATGGCTTTATTGATGTCCACGATAGCTTCGTCAATTCGACGATCACGGCCAATGCAGTAGCCCATACAGTTTTACCGGTGAGTAATTTCAGAGGATTGTCCGGTGTCAGTGCAAATTTCCATCATCTTTAGAGGCGCAAAGCATATTCTGAGGTTTGTACAGTGCATTTCATTAGTCCATTCATCGACGCTTTCTTGGTCATGTCCAATTTCAAAGTGGTTTGCCGGAATTGTTAGCTTTGGAGTACCCTCTGTGTTTCTGGATTTCACACGCAATCTCAACTGGAGCCATGGTTTACTTTGTAGCAAACTTATGCGATTTCGATCACTGAAGCCGTATCCGAACTGGAGAGTTTCGGAGCTGCTCTCTCCCATACTGTACTCCACGACCGACCGGTATCGTCCTGACTTGGACTCATCAAGTAAAGGTAGCTTGAATTGATAGGGAGCCCAACACAATGGTTGAGAACTTTCGTCTTGGTCACTAGGCCAGAGCTTCACAGCAGTGTTTGACACAGTGGGTCATTATTGGGTCTTGGAGTACCCGCCGTGTGTCTGGATTGCGACACGCAATCTTGATTGAGGCTACAGTTTGCTTTGATGCTAACTTATGCCATTTCGATGACTGTGACCGCATCCGAAGTACAAAGCTTCGGAACTGCTCGCGTAAACCGTCAACCATAATGTGTCAGGTTCCCCTCGCATCTCAAGCTATCTCTACCTGACTACTCCAAATCAGGACGGAACCGGTCGGATGTGGGATGCACTGTTGGGAGAGATCTGCTCCGAAGCATTTTGTTTGAACTTGGTAGAACTTTCATTTTCGTATCACGGAGGATGAAGTTGGTGCGGAGGGAATAAACAGAGCAGTCCAAACGTGCTATACTCGTCTCGGTGATGGTGTCCCCTACAAACTCAGTTTCCCGTAGGTCTGTTCACTACCATGTGAGTGGAATTACAGAGATATCAGAATTGTGAAATACTGGTTGGTTATCAACACAGAGACGTTTTTCATTTGGATGTTACTGAACATGGAGCAGATTGTTCTATGCAGTTGCGTTCACGCTATGTGGAGTTTTCCGAAATTTGGCATGCACTATATCTTGTTATGCGTTGCCATACAAACTTGTCCTTTTCTAGCTGTTATTTCGATGCAATTTGCGTCTGTCGTGACACTTTTACCACTGATTCATTATTATTTACCATTGCTTAGACCGAATTTATGCGTGGATTGGTCACTCTGCTGATTGACAAACTCCAGTTTGACCTTGGCCTAACTGCTGCGCAGAATCTTCGATATCCATTAGAGTTCAAATTGAAAACGGCCACTGGGGCAGAGCTACCCACCGAACCGCCGACCCCTGACTCTCGTCCCTTCGGTGATCTGATCGAAAGCGTGGATCATTTCAGTCACTTGGTCGATGTCATCTTACAGACTGACGCTCGCCTTACACAATTAGCCTATCCGTTGGATCAACCACGCCCATCCAATATCCTGGCGTTACCTGCCATTTTTGGCCAGTGGATTCTGTTGGAGCACAAACTGGCACTGAATCGGTTGGATATGCTTCTCTCCTCACCCAGTGCATGGATCACAGTTGGTGAACCCACTCTAAGGTGAAGTTAACACTGGTGTGCCACCTTGTATGCTTCTGTAAGCGCTTAGTGGAACTAACCCTCCAGATTCGTTTTGTTTTGGTCAGTGTTCATTACTTGGTAGTCCCCCGCACACTCAGTTCACTCCATGTGACCTCTGAAGCACCATTACTCATCGTATCCATGCCGATGGCCCAATTAGAAGCTCTAACCAACCCAGTTTTAAGCGACTGATCAGGATCCAGCCAGTTTGAGCTCCTTTATTTTGAACACAACAAATTACAGCACGTTTGACATGAGATCACCTAAAGGGAACGTTTTATCAGCATATGACGTTATTGGACTTTCCTTTAGGTCATTTCTGCTGAATTATAGGACTAGAGCCATTGTGGCAGTTGATCACCCCGTCTTTCGGACTTAAAAATTTTATTTTTAAATATTCTCACTTGCTGCAATTCCGAAACATGCACTTAACCTATTTCGCGCGACCTCAAAGTCAACCGAATACAAAGTCAAAACGACGCCCAAAATAACGCGTTAACTGCAGTCAAACTGGAACTGCACAAAGGCGACAGACCTTCGTCATACTTATGGGTTGCCTTATGACCTTCGACTTCTGGACCCAAAATTTCTACTACCAAAATTAACAGTGCCGCGCTGATCCCGCCAATAATCAGAAGAATGGCAGTCACGTGCAGGTGTTATAAAACTAAGATAAGTTCGAACTCGATGCGATAGTCCCTTACAGCCGATGAACCACTGCTTCTTCCTGAAAATCCTTACTTTCTCCCTTACATCTCTCCTATGGTGGTCTGTGGTGCATGAAGAAGGCCTGGAATTGTCATGTAGTCTGCTGGACGGTGTTTGAATTCTGTCGGTTCAACTCCACAGTAGAAGCACGCAAGCACGCAAGATGCGGGTCCCGTGCTCTGTCGTGCGGTTTCGTCGCTTGGCTGACAGGCGTCGTCCATGGACTTCTTTGCCAGATTGAAGCTCTCCATCAACAAATCAGACTGGAACTCGACAGGCTTTACTTCCTCTGGTTGGCACAGTGTTGGCCGTAGCTGGTTTGTATGGCGAAACCAAGTCTGCTTCCCCACGTGACGTTCCCGTGCTTACCTTTGATTCTGCCAGGTGTCCAATTTGCGTGACATGCCCGATAGTCCCGTACTACCAGTGTCTGCCGTGGCATAAACGATCACTGCTTAACTCCATGCCGACGGTTATAATCCCATTCCATTCTGCGATTCCTTTCAACAACAAAGGGCACTATGCTTGGTCGAATAGCATCAAATGTCATACGCAGCTTTCTATTCATCATGGGATGTGCTGCTGAAACTCCATCCGACACTTGTGGGTTTGGCGTTGATCGGTATTGGAAGAGGACTCGATCAATCACCTCTATACGTCCCTTCTTTTTTTGATTAGAGCGTATGAGGCCTAGTTGACAGGTGTGAAGTCGCCGGTTCCTTCTGCTCGCTCAAGCTCTTGCTCAACGATTGGCATTGCTGCATACGGCACTGGTCGTTTAGCTTTATAAACTGTCTTGGCTTCTAGTCGCAGGGGCAGTGTCGGTGTTAATTTAGTGCAATGGTCTAGGGCATCCTGAAACACAGGTTCAAATGTTTGTTTCAGCAGGCGGATCATTTCTTCGACCGGCTTCGTTGGTGCGTCTTGATTCGCTCGAACTCGATTGCAGTCGCAACTTCTTAATCCACTCTAGCTTTAAAGGTTCAAGTTTGGCCTATCTGACATGTAAACCGTCCCTGTTTCTTCCACACTGTCAAATGCCATTGTGCAGGTATTTACTGCGATTAAGTTGTTCACATCACCTGATGCGTTGCGGTGTATTCTGTGAGACTTGGTAATTGTTGGCCTCTTTATGTGATTCCAACTGTTCCTGGAAATGATCGTAATGTCTGAGATCGTGTCAAATTGCAACTTCGTTAGGGTACCATTGTTTAGCACGATGGTGAATTGTCCTCGTAGCTTAGTCTCACTTTACATTGCGGCATTTACCGAAAGCGGTTCCGCACCATACTTTCGAGTTTTTCGAAGAGTAGAACTTCTTCGGCTGGGTCTGGCTGCATATTTCTTTTTTATGGCCTAGCTTACGGCACTTTTCGCAAATTCGACGTTTAAATGGGCAGAGGCGCACAAAATATCATTCACTGCCTGATCAGCAGGCTATAGGTGGTTTGTTCGGAGCCCTCCTGAACGATTTGCTTCTGCTAGCATTCCTGGCATTTTTCACTGCATGAACCGTATCGGACGGTGCAGGGCGAGAGTGTTCGATCAGGGCGATATCGTGCTTCAACGTGAGCATGCGCTTGCACTCGTCAACAAGAGTCTTTAGTGTGCATTTTGGGTCGTGTTTAAGCTTAGCAAAATGCTTCGTGCAGATCTCAGCATCACAGGGGGACTGGAGCGCACTGGCGAAATTGAGTCACCTAACTTAGTCGTCCGTCAAAAATCGTAGCCTTCAACACACATTCGCGGTTCATCATGTCAGCTAACACCCCATAACCGTCCGTTTCCCGTTTGACAGTCTTTCGACATTGATAACGAATGCTGAACAGGGAAGCAGACACAGCAAATAGTTCACTGAGTTATGACACCGCTTCGTTGAAACTCAGGTTCTTTGATTGTTTGCGCAGAATATGGTCGATGAATCTTGAATGTTCGCTCGTGCCGAGCTTGCGAAGTAACAAGCGTACTTTCCAGGTATGGTCCTGACGGCTGAAGTCCGTCCGGAAAATATCTTCCGAACGTTTGAACCAGGTTTCATACGTCTTACGTTATACGTCTTACTTAAATTTACTGACTGCATTAGTGAGAAGATCAACAGAATTCGCCTGCGTGTTCCGTGCTGCTGCTTTTGCAGAATGCAAACTCAAGCAATTCGTCAACTTTTCAATCATTTTCATTTGAGCTTCCATTTGGGATTGCTGTTGCAAAAATAGCTTCTGAGGTTGTCCAACGGAAAAATTCAGAACATTTCCAGTTTTCTCCATCGTCATTTGTTAAATCCTCTCACTTGCTGCAATCCCGAAACATGTACTTAATCTATTTCTCACGACCTCGAGCCCAACCGATGGAAAACTCAAAACGACATTGTCCAAAATAACGTGTTTACCGCAGTCAAAATGGAACTGTTCAAAGTTGGCACACCTTGGTCATGTAGGTCGCCTCATGACCTTCGACTTTCAGAATCCGAAGTTCAGCTAATAAAATTAGCAATGCCACGCTGCTCCCGCCAGTAATCAGAAGAATGGCAGTCACGTGCCGGGGGTTATAAAACTACGATAAGTTCGAACTCGATGCGATAGTCCCTTGCAATCGATGAACCACTGAAGTAATGGTTTTTGCTGGAGATTCTTACTTTCCTCCGGACATTTATCAAAGTCTTTTTCTTACATTTTAAGGAGGGGCTATTCCGGGTTTTGAGCTAGCTGTTTACTTAATTGTGCTATTAGCAGTAACAAGACATTGACTCATTTACTGCCGGGATTTTCAGATACATTAAAAATAGTGATTCAAAGTTTCAGATTAACGTGATATTTATAATTGTTGTGGCTGAATTTTCGGTAAAGACGCCAATCCTTATTATTTTGAAGCCATTTTGCCAAACCCATGTTTATCTTAATTAATTCAATACCTTAATCACATTTTTGAACATGTTCTTAAAAATCGACACTACCAGAAACTGCGTGAATTTTGCCAATGATTGCAAGTCGAGTGAAATAGGGTCTATGGGCTTCGTAAGAATTACGCATAGCTGTCGTACGCCAAACGCTATTCCCTGTCTTCCGGCTGCCACTTGCGGTGATAAGCGAAATCTTGCTGCGGTGCCGTTAGAGATATATACAACGGTCATTAGGCTGATAATCGATCCCTAGCCCTAGGGATCGTTAGCCCACCTTCTAATCTGAGGCGCGGGTTCGAGCCTGCGTAGGGACCGGGCGACCCTCACAGTATCCTTAGCCCGCGTGCGATTGGAGATTGTTGCACGGCAGCGAAGCGTCGGTACTGAGTACCGTCGTACTGCTGATGCCTGCCCTTGGTATTCGAGTGCACTAGAATTTGGATTAAGAGGATTTTTCCTTGTTTGATGCTTGTTTGCTATCAACAGGTGTAGAACAGATTGTTGCGCTCGGAAATACCCGCCTTCTGTCAGGATTGCGGCACACACTCGTCTGAGGCCACATTTGACTTTTATTTCAATTTGACCATTTTGCTCATTTGGATCTTATTCGAAATGACGAGTTTCGGTGTTGTTTTTCCTCCTCACTGAAGTGGTGTGAGCTAGCAACACTGAGACCAACCAATTCGGGTGCCTAAATACTTCCGATGCTTGGTGCTATAGGTCGTACGGTAACACATTCTCTACTGAATTTATACGTATTATTCTTTAACGTAATATTGCCTCTATTACTGTATCCACATCTGCATGCTTCACTTCTACCCTACTTCATTGGTTCCTAGTTAATTTCGCGAAATATGGTCGTTGCTTTGCTGCGTAGTGCTCTATTATGCGTATTGCCTTGGTCCATTGATATATCAGCAGTACGTCGCGACGCAGCGCCGACGCTTCTCTGCCGCGCAGCCACGCAACAGTCGTGGGTGCGCTATGAATACTGCGAGGCTCACCCGGTTCCTTACGCATGCACGAATCCGCGCTCTCGGATTACTAGACAGGCTTGTGATCCTATACACCTCGGGCCGGCCCTTGGTCTGTTGAACCACATGGGGTTGCACTTTCGAAGTACCGACAGACAAAGGAATGGTTCGACCTTGTAGGTGTCTCGTTGCAGTCGGTTCCAAGTCATACAACCCTACACACATCCGAAAAGACGATGGGCAGCTGTTTCATTCCGTTAGGAACCATCAGTTCTGCACTATCTCCTCGCCTCCCCCCCTTACGATCCACATGTAGTGAAGTCAGCGGTTTAGGTTACTAAGCATTAAGTGACGGCGATGTACCATCATAAATGATTACAGTCTACGATAGATATATCACA